GGATTTATGTATTTCGAACTATCTTTTTTTCAGAATATAGCTCTAATTTTTCTCTACAAAATGACATAATTTGATCAATAACTTCATAGAAGTTTGTTGTAGATATCATGGATTTACTGAGAGGGGTCGAAACTTTCTGATCACCCTTTAGAATTCTGATGAGAATAGGCTTTGTTGCAAAGTAGCTGGTACTATTTGAATCATGACAGGTGTAGCATTAAAAAACAAAATATAGTACAAGTTACAAAGTGAAATGCTCTACCATGGGCGGCGGAGCGGTCTTAGTTTAGGGTAGGCTCAACTTTTAAGCCAAGCCAGCACCGAGAGTCAATTGAAAGACTTTTTTTCGTTTATAATGGTAAGCGCTAGAGATGCTCTTGCTAGGTTTAAATTCCGTAGAATTTGATGACTAAAGGATGGTTCGAAAGTTTCGATCCCTCTCTATAAATCGATAATATCTACAACAAACTTATACAAAGTTATTGATCAAATTGTGTTATTTTGTAGAGGAAGATGAGAGTTATCATTTGAAAAAAATATTTCGAAATACATAAATCTATCATAATGTTATGATCATTTTAGCAGCTTTGAGCTGGCATCCCACTCCACCTCTTTTTCCTCCTTTTCTTTTGTTCTTTTAAAATTCCTCTTTTTACCCTCTTTTTTCGAAAAAATCCACTTTTTCCTCTTTTCTCACGAAGAAGCAGGTCGTTGACAAAAATACTCATGAATATATTGGTTATTGTTACCGTATCATACAAAAATATCACATAACAAACTGATGTGCTGATCAATCAAGATGCATAGCTAAGGAAGCTAAAGTATATGATTTTAGTGATCAACTTCAGCGATATTATATATTCATAATCGGAACCCAATTTTTGTAGTTCTCTAGCGGAAGCAAAAGCACTCAATTATGTTTCCAATATGAAATCGTCATTCTCTCACGATCTTAACATGTTTTTGTGTACTCAAAAGTGAGTACACTCTAGAATCGGTTAGTGTGTCCGACCGTTTACACGATAACTTTTGAAAGGAGAGTCCGATTGCGATGAAATTTTCTACACAGTTTAGTCTCAACAATATCTCGGTCGAGTTTGAAGATGAGAATGATTCGTCAAGCTGTTCCTGAATTATTGCAAAAATAGTCATTATTCCCTATGCCTTCCTATGCGAAAATCGACCTATCCCCGCTTTCGTAAGAAACTTTTCCTATCATAGTCAAATAAAACCCCAACTATTATATACCATTGGATAGAGAATTTCACGAGCTACAAAATGGTATATAAAACATAAAGAAACAAGAAGACTAACTCACCTATTGCAAAGATAATTAAACAGGAAATGGTTCTGTTCTTGTCCACACTCTAATTGATCCACAATTAGAGCTCTGTCTTTCGATCACAGAGATGATAGTTCGAGATTTTCTGGGTCGGAGAACTCTAATCCAAGCTCCGTTTGCCTTGAAATCCTATTGGTTGAGCAGTAACCAATAGAAATCAAGCTATAGGAAAAAACGACTTTCTTAGGGTAAATGAAGGTGAAGAGTTCAAATCTGAGCTGTATTCATCTCTAAATCCTATTGATTGAGCAATAGCCAATAGAATTCAAGTGTTTTATAGAAAAGGTTTGCCAGGATAATTTTTACGTCCACACATTCTAGGATGACTCATCTGTCTCATTCACTTTTTGAAGTACATACAACTCTCGGGTTTAAATCCGAGGTTTCCACATTTATTCTGGTTAAGATCGACATGTAAAATTATAATCTCGAGCTCACTTTTCTTGACCACTTTTTTCGGCCCCAGAGAAGCTTGTGATATGAATCTAACAATAGATAGGTAACTCGTAGCGTAGCGCATGCTTCAAAGCAAAGAGTTCCTAGAATGACTAGACTCGGTCTAGAATTCTGTCAGATTCAATGGGATTTGTTCGGCAAGATAGCTTTCGATAGTATGATAACATAAGTTGAAGATTTCTGCTTATCAGAAAATGAAGTAACTCCTCTTCCTCTTCTTCCGAGTTTCTTCGTATTCAATCACATTTTGGAGGTTCGTATATCTCCAAACCGTACACGGAGAAATATAATCGTATACGAAGAAATACAAAGTAAAACGAAAAGTGTAGACGAGCTTTGTTTGTCTATAAACGATCATATTTTTGCGCATACGATTACGGATTTATACGATCACATTACTGGGCGATATGAAACGCCGTATTTCTCCAATTACGAGCGTGTTTGCTTGACATGGGTTAATATTGATAACGGTTTGATGATACTTGGAAGAAATCGGATATGATGGAATGCAATAGCAATAAACAGGGGTATCCGATAACCAAAACGTAAGAGATCATCCAATCTACTCAATACAAGTAAGTCGTTGTATACAGAACCCAAGAAGATGATCATATGTCACTGCGAAAAATTAAGCGTTTTCGATAGCACGCGGTCAAATGATACCCACAAACCTGCTGTCTGGACACAGTTGCAACCAATGTATTAATTTATGTTGAGAAACGGAAAAGTGAAACTGACTTGCGAAAAATGGTCAAAATCACGGAAGAATTGCCAAAAATTGAAAAAGCTCAAGAAAAACTTTCTCACATGCGCAGCCATCCGAAAAAAAGGAACAAAACGCAAAAAGGACATTTAATGAATTTTGATTGTTTCTATTTCTATATACCTACTTAGTTAGACAGTAATATTATACTCAGATACTATGTAGATATAATATTTAGAATATTTTTCTAATGTTTTCCGGTTTTCTAATAGATAAATAAGCAGCTGCACAAAAATCTCCGAACAATTTGGAAGTTTCGTTTTTGTTTTTCTCTTTCAAGTCATATTCAATCTATACCGATAACGTACGAGTTTTGTCGGATCTATAGTACTATAGTGCAGGTGAGTTTTAGTTTTCTTCGAAAGGAAACTGTACGCCTCTTTTTCTACTCTTTTTTTTTACTAAAAAGTCTCTTTTTCTTCAAGAACGCTGGGCACCTTTTTTTCTCTTGTTTTTTTACAAAGTGTTGCTGAGATGCCAGATCTATTTCCAAATATTTTTTCACATGATAACTCTTATCTTTCTCTAAAAGATGACGTAATTTGATCAATAACTTCATATTAGTTTGTTGTAGATACTATCGATTTATAGAGAGTGGTCGAAACTTTTGAACCACCCTTTAGAGAATTTTAACATTGAACAGAGCCTATCTGAGCCTCTTTTATCTCTTCAATCTAAGACGATTCGAGCCTACTCAAGCTTTTTCATATGTTTAATTTAGGATAATTCGAACCTGTCCAAGCCTTTATCTGTCCCCGTTTTAGCCTACCCAAGCCTACCCGACTCCAGTCTAGGGTAGGCTCGAGCCTACCCAGGCCTCGTGACTCCGCCGCCTATGTGCTCTACCATTTATACAGGATCCATTATTTTATAATTGCACCGTCAATTTTAAAATAGATAAAACTCTGAACGACCTTGAGGGTGTGGGTGTGGGTCTGCATCAAAAGAACGATTACACCCACACCCCACACCCACACCACCACCCCCACACCCATATCCACACCCATATCCACACCCACACCCACACCCACACCCTAAGACTTCTCTTCTCACAATCTCTCACTCCCAGCCGCAACCACACCTTCCCACACCCACACTCATCCACACAGCATATCCACATCCAATGATATCTACTTTATCAAATACTTTTGAAAATTCACTCTCTTTAAAAAAAAAATTTAAGTCGTTCGGAGTTTAAATACTATTTTTTCTTTTGTCAGTTAAGGGGGATGAGAAAAAAATACTAAAGTGAGCAAATTTATTCAATCATTAGGACATAGTTTGTATTTGCAGCACAGAAAACTAATTGTTTTTCATAAGGTATGTATCAAAATCTTTTGAAAGTAACGAACTTCTCCAGGATGTTTTGCTCTGCAGTTACTTTGACCCTATCCACTTTTTTGCTACCGAATATAGTTTTCAATTTTTCGTATGCTGATTCTTCATGTCCCGTAAATATTAGACAAGTTTGTTCAAAACCAAGTTTTCGTACTTCATATATGAGTCGAGCACCTGCTGTACTAGGTGGAGTTTCATTAGTTCGCTTCATATCTGTAACAATTCGAAATGTATTGCTATCCTTGAGTCGTTCTCCGAATTCCGAGCGAAGAAATGCCAATGCTGATTGTGTATTCGATTTCGGAATGAAATGAACGTTGACACGAGTTCCTAGAGTACTGGCTTTCTCCATGTGTCGCTTGTTTTCCCAATCTGCATCAAAAATATTGTCGTCAACCCACAAAATAACGTTTTGGCATAGCCCTAGTTCTATCTACAACATAATGATAAGTTTGTTAGTTATTTCATAGGGTGAAGAACGTACTTGTCTCAAAAATATACGATTTTGTCTAAAGTTTTGGTCATATTGGACATCACATACAATAAAAGATGAATGAGGCAAAAAAAGAACTTCATCTTCTTCATCAGCACAATTTGAAAAATATTGTATACTTCGACCAGTTAGTGAAGATATCGTAAAAACTGTATTTCGATCCTTAAAATGTGTCATATCCTTTCCACCCTTATCTGCACTACTGAATTGCAGCCATGTGATAATTTCACCAGATTTATAATCCTGCAGGCCCTTTTCGTCCAGCTTCACGTACCGTACTACTGTACCCCAATAGAAATCAATGTGAGAGAGACCTTTGAAGTCGATCAGAAATGACATCCTATGAAAATTACTCATCAATCGGGTTGCAGAATTATTTTACTCTGACCTTAGCCAGAAGAGATCAAACCAATAATATGGTGATGCATGTTGTCGCTTGTGCATCTGCCTAGATGTCCATTTACCACCTTCTCAACAACCCTATCAATCCTATATTACAAGTGGACACTCATTCTGAATGAAGCCTTTGATAAGATAATACATAATCATAGCTGCGCTACTGTCAACTGTACCATCATCTGAATAAAATTGTTCTGACGTTACCAATCGTCGACAAATAATATTTGCTTCCATGCTCAATTTGGAACTGTATGCACCTGTATAGAATGCAATAGCAAAAGCATACGCCCTCGCGTCATTTTCTGGGACCTCTCGTTCTATAAAATACTGGAACGTTTCATTGCTTTTAGCACGATGTATTTCGACTTCATTCTCTTCTTTATCATGTGCTCTACAAGCTTCGATTAAATTGTAATACGATGGTTTCTTACCATCCTTCATCATCTTTTCCAGTGTTGGTCCAAAGTCATCTTCAATCACCGCAAATTCAGAGCGTTTTTCCATCAGTTGAGCTGCATTTTGATATAGGCAGGCATGCTCAAGATAGTTCTCAATAACTTCAGAATCATATTTCTTTGAATTCGGTAACCTTTCGAAATTGGGTATTTTCCCAACCGAATGTAAATACATTGTGTGTTTAACTTTCTTTGTTGGATTTCCGAAATCATTTTTAGCTTGCTGAACTTTCTCGAATATTTCATTATGACTAATCCGGTTGGACATTCTTTCTACTTCGTCCTCTGCCATTGCAAACTGTTTTGGTTTTGAGACCGGCTTTTTTACCGCCATACTTGAAGTTGTGTGAAGCACGATCTGAAAGGTGTGTTAAAGTGTATAAGATAGAAATTGGTACTTCCCCTTCCACCTCACAGACTGTGATAGACGGGCACGTGATCCGTCATAGATGATGACAGACGAGTTTACTAATTAATTAAATGACACAGTAATTGACTAATTAATAATAAATATTTCGTTAGAAAACTCCTGAAGACTCCCAGTAAGACAAATACTAACAGATAACGCGTAAATACGGTTTGAAATTTTAATAAAAAAAAATGAATCGTAAAAAGGGCACATTTTCTAACTTTTGTTTTCGTTGAAGGTTCTGAATGCGGTTGTGTGTGGTTGTACCTCCTTTCTTAATCTGTACCCACACTCGGACATCCGCACCCTCCAAAGGATTTATTTGGATATGTAAGTAAAGATATA